ATGCTTCAGTGATTCCCTATTAATCAACCAAATTTTTCCCACAAAAGGGAGAGCCTGGGCCCACCCCTGGATCTGCCTATGGAAAGAAGTACATTTTTGATAGCAAGATTATGCAAGATTTTAACAAATTCTGTTAGGCATTTGCAGTGGCAAATCCGCAAGGGGGGGTGGGGTTTGGAACTCCCTTTTTTTTTTTACAATCAATGCATTTGAATAGGGACATATAGTTGGACCCCCCCCCCCCCCCCCCCAGCACTTGCCTCAAAAATTATCAACATAACCCTCTCTGTCTTTAGAATAGACATCTTCATTACTCCCCATCTCTTTTTCCCAGGTCCATAGAAGATTTTAAAGAAAAAGTTGAGATTGATGGAGGACAGTTTCATTTATAAGACATGAAACATACACCAATCTCAATATTTATGATAACATTTTGTTTACCTCTTCCCAATGCTGGTCATTTTCTGAAGTCTGTTCAGCATACAAGTTTGTTTGCTCTGATAGGTGTTGAAAAAATCGTTCTTCAAAAAACAACTGAAAAAAATCAACAGCTTGTGCGTTCAATGGCAACATGTGCACAGGACCTGTCATTTCATTGAAATCTGGTATTTCAATATCCTCCAACTGTTCAGACCAAAAGTCATCATCAGATACACTAGTGAGTTGGCTGCTCGGAATTTCACTCAGCTGTGATTCAAACTCACCATCACTGTCCGGCAATTCATCATCGTCTTCCTCAATATCAGAATCAGGGTTTCTGTCAGAAAGGTCTGAACCTACTTCAGATTCTTCCTCAAATGATAAATCTGATGTTCTCACTGAACTAGGAGGGCTAACTGAACCTGGACTGTCATTTTCGTCCTCCAAATCTGATAACCCGAACCCCGAAAATTGCGAAGATTGGGAAGAAAGGAAAATCTCCATTTCTTCAGTCGGCCATGTTTTATTATCCAAAATGAATTGCCAAGTACACAAAAGTAAAAGCTGTTTATTTTTTTTTTGCAAAATGATATTTCATGAACATAGAAGTTCACGGAATACTGTATAGATGTATTTATTAAAATAAAGTACGAGGATAAAAGGGTATCGTCTTTTTTACGAGAAAACAGCACTGCAAGTACGGTACTATATTATGAATTCCGAGCCGTGGGCGGGGTTTAGAAGTTCGATCAGAAAAAGTTGAAAAACTAGTTATTTACGTTCAATTTATTAAGAAAATGATTGAGGTTTAAAAAATCATTCCTTTTTCTTGAAATATTTCTTTAAAACATTGCAATGAAATGTTTTTTCTGGTTAATAAAAGTTATGTGTTCCCGCCCACTTTATGACTCGTTGATGCGTAATCGCCGGAAGTCGGAAAAGGGATTCCCCAAAGAATTCACATGTTTACATTTTACACGGTATCACCTTCTTGTTCAAAATGTGTCGGAGAAAAAGAGTGGTATGGCATCGACTGCATATCTTTCAATTCTTAATCGAATTTCTGATATTCCAAATGCTATTTTAAACACAATTGTGTAATGCAGAGTATTTTATTGCAATTTTCTTCTGCTCTAAACTGGGAAATGACATCGACTTGATCTTCCATCATTTTTAAAATTTAAAAAATCTTACCAAAAGTCATTAAACTCGAAACTGTATCGTACAAAATGAAGATAAGGCATTCAATCAACAGTTGTTATCAATAACTCATGACAAAAATCGTAATTAATGCAATTTCAGCTGCTTTGAAAAGTTGTCAACAAAAAGTTGGACAAAATGGCGACGGCGTTAAAAAAAAGAAAACAACAACAAGTTTAAAATTATAATTCACGTTGATAAAAAATTATTTCATCAAGAAAATTTACACCAGTTATTCACAAGTTTATACTTCTTATTTTGGATACAAATTTGATAAATTTTGACACGGATTACTCGAGGACAAAGCGTTTCAACTGAGGTTGTTAACAGAGGCGTCAAAAGGCGTCATTATGGAGTAAAGGGGGAGGCGTCAAAAGGCGTCATTATGGAGGAAAGGGTTAATGTTTTCATTGACAACGTCACATGCACCCTTAGTTTCTGACTAAGATTTTCTTTCTCAAGCGAGTAGCATGATATGACAAATTATCACAAAAAGATATCAAAGGAAAAATACACAAAATAGCCATACTCCATTCTGATTATCATGGAAAGATATCCATGTAAATAAGAAAAAAAACATACCATTGGACTTATTTAAGGACAGTCATCAAAACATGCACTTTATTCAAGATATGAATGTGATTTACATATTTACTCAGTTTTACACTTTCTTCTGATTATCATGAAAAGATATCAATACTGTAATATGTCTCAAAACATGTTTTAAAGTCAAATGATCTCTTATAAACCTTATTGCTACAGTATTTGTCCACCATTACTGGACATAACTGATCTTCCAGTAAAATATTTAAATCCTTAATAGCCAACAACCACAGCCAACAACCACAGAAAACAAGGGATTCTTGTATGACGTCAAATTAAAAGGTCAAGTGATATTAACTGTTCTCAGATGATTTTGTTGTGTATAGAAAACATAAAACAGTTAATTTTTCCCCCGTATTGTACTGATTGTAAGATTGATTTTACTTCTTTAAGTTCCTCTAACTTGACCGAGTACTGTAACCAGGATGTCTAACCGCGGGGTGGGTTACCTGTAGAAAATATGAAAATAGTCTATTGAGCTATATGGGTTCCTTTCAATTGTTAACCACATAAAGACTTCTAGATTTCAGAATTTTTAATGCAATTTTTTGGGGGGTGAATATGTTGTTTCACATTGACAACCAACCTGTCTTACAATAAAATACTAAATAAAATAGCCACCAATACTGCAAATGAGCAAATGACCATCTTTATAGTAAAAGACAACCAATGTGTAAGAGGAACCAGTCAGATTATGTAAATGTGGATATTTATTGCAACTTTTTTGCAGTTTTTTTTTAATATATTATAGAATGTATTATAATCTTAGATATATCCACACCTTCAGGGTACGTTTTTTTATGGTGTATGTATGTAATTATGGTTCCTTAACTGATTCTAGAGATATTGCACAAATGCATGACCAATGCATGACACTATGTTTGATTGAAAAAAACCTTTCTATTTAACTAACAGATCAAATCCATATTTGTCAAACACCAGATTATTTCCATTTCAAGTATCAGATTTTCAGGGTGCTTGAACTCAAGTATAAATATTGTCACTTGAAGAAACATACGTATTCCAAATATGAAAATATACCGGTAGTTTTAAAATTAAGGAAAATTGCAACACAATCCATTATATCTGTTGACAGTACAAAGTTAGTTAACATGCAGTTAAAGATTAGTGTATAGATACTAGTAGATATGATAACTTATCCCTCGATGCCACTGTAAGTCGGAAGACTTGGACAACAGCAAACGAAGAATTATGTTATCATATTGACCACCGTTAGTATGCAAGTGATTGGATTAAACTGTCTACAAACATACTGTAAATTCAGAAATTATTGCGGTGTTTTTATTATTGCAAAAAATGTGACAGGGTTATAATCGCAATAATTTAAACTTGCATTTTGAAATTTTTTATATGAATTAAACAGGACTTTTCTCAATATCGCAAAAATTAAAATCGCATTTTAGTCTAAAATGACAAAATCGCAATAATAAATGCACGCAATAATTTCTGAATTTACAGTAATGAATTATTGAGCATATGGGTTTTATTAAAATAAGAAAAATGCTTTTGATTAAAGTAAAGAATGAAAAAATATACCGCAATCAAGTGAAAATGTGACGACAAATAAATCTTCTAAGAATCTGAAAATTATAGTTTTTTGGATTCAGTACTTTTGAAATTAATATATAATGTAAAATGGGTTTTTCAAAAAAAAAAACACCACTTGTATACACAGGACATAGAATCAGTTAAGGAATTTGTAGGTCAATTGGTCTAAGACTGGTTTCTGCTTCCACAGTTAAACCCTGCTGATTGAATGTAACTAGGAATTGAAAACCAATCTATATAGGTCACTCATGACAATTCTTACTCTATATATCAGTTATCTTCTCAATGTTAACTTGTTATTCAAAGAATATGCACACAAAATAAAAATTCAAATTTTTTTCACAATATGTAGCCTTTCTTCTGGAATCAAAACAAAGAAACTATAAACCAATGAAATTAAAGGTATCTTTATACTTCAACCAATGAAATTATATGTTTTACCCCATGTTTAGTTTTACAAACCCTAGGCATATATGAAATGAATTTGTTTGTGTCCTATGGCAAGTTTGATCTCTGCTCATGTTCAATGATGGATGTCTGATTGTTTTAATTATTACATTTGAAAAGAAAATATATTTTGTAATAGGGTAGCTAACTTGGTGACATTTATTAACATTATAATAATAATAATAAAAATCATTAATTAGAGAATCCTTAGCAAATTGATGTTTTTTAAATCATGTACAAAATGTTTTCATTGCTGTACAGAGATTCAATATAAACTTCTAGTATTGCATTCACTTGGCTTTCACCAAACCAAACAGAATCCACAAAGTTTTGCAAGATCTAGGGTATAGTCATTTCCCTGAGTATAGCACTTCTATATAGCAAAAATTCACCACCTAGCTTTTCAATAAACTTAACTGCTTAAAACACTCTTCAACGTATTATTAAAATTTTGTCAGGGTTAAACTGAAGATTAGACTATTGAAAAAGTGTTAAATTTTTTAATGGTCATCACTTAAACACGCGTGTTGAAAATTGATAGTTAGATGTTCATATTCTTTTTATTTTAATATAGCTATTTATGAATAAAGGACACAATTTTTATTATTAGGGTTTTTTTTAACTATTTTTTTTTATATAAACCTCTTTTGGAAGAGTTTAGTACACATTAATTTTCATTAATTTTCAGAATAGAATTGTCTCTGATACATTTTTAGCTTTGAGATAATTATCAATATACAATTTTGATTTGATATTTACAGACACAACCAAAACCAAAGTTAGGTGGAGATGGACATGATCTTTGTCATGGTGGAATGTTCAAGGATTTCCAAAAGAAACATCAAAAATTTTATTCAACACAAGAAGGTAAAAGTTCTTTGCCAGTCAATTAATTTTATGTAGATTGGGGCATGTAAAGTAACGCTTCCACATGATTTTGTATGATGGTCGAGTTGGTGAGATTTATATGTTTAATTTATATGGACAAAAGGACATTAAAGCTAGATCATTACAAATGTAACAGAGTAAAAATAAAAATTATTTGAAATATAAATTTTATTAAAATTGAGAATGGAAATGGGGAATGTGTCAAAGAGATAACAACCCGACCAAAGAACAGAAAACAGCCCAAGGCCACCAATGGGTCTTCAACACAGTGAGAAAATTTGATATTGCATTTGATAATTTTTTTTGATTTTTTTTTTTTTTTTAACAATTATGTTATTTTTTTCACTAAATGGTTGTTACTGGACTAACTAGTGATCTTATTTTGTTTACAGAGGAGAAAAAAAGATTTGGTATTTTTTGTGAGAACATGAAAACTGTCAGAAAAATCCAGAAGAAAGAACAAGGAACTGCAGTGTATGGAGCTACCAAGTTTGCTGATTTGACAGGTAAGATTTGCATTTGAATAAGGGACAAGCAAAACATATGCTTGAGTGACACAATTTATTGTTTTAATGGGTAAAGTTTATTTTTAACTAATGTTATACACCACAAAACAATGTGGTGACAGTGACATTATCTCAGTTTAAAGAAAACAAGAGAGTTTCATTATGTCAAAGAAATTTTGATATGTTTAAATCCAAATATAAGTCAAAATAGAACAAATCCGAGATACAAAGTTATTGGCTGTTTTCTTGTCCAATTTGATAGTAAAAATTTATCAATTTGAAATTGTAGAGAAGGAATTCAAGAAATATGTTGGAAAGAAATGGAACTTGATAAAGAATACCAACAAAGACATGAAACAAGCTTATATCAGACCCAGATCAATCCCAGAATCCTTTGATTGGAGAGATCACAATGCAGTCTCTGATGTGAAGAATCAGGTATACAAATTTAGACCAGTTTGTCTCATTTTAATCTCTTTACTGGCTCTTGACAAAGATTTGAGATATTTTTCTATCTTTGATCATGTACTGTTTGATAATAATAAGGTAGCAAAAACCCTTCAGTTACAGAGTCAGTTACAGAGAAGAATCAGGACATTGATAATCTAGTATGGCCTTTTGGTTATATTCATGATCTCTTTTCATAAAGAAAAATCTAAGTTACTGAAATTGATAGCAATTAATACTGAATTTTTCATGATAAGGGTTTGATAATAAGATCCATTGTAAAGATGTCCTTGACCTTCGTTAGAAATATTTAGATATGGAAACCAATTGTTCTGAAATTTAGAGTCAAAGTCATCAAAATAAAAAAAAGTTATTTTCATGGTTATTCTTTCAACTGAGGTATGATGAAGTGAAAAAAAAACATTTTTTAATGGTTTTATTTATAAGAATAAAAGATCTTTCAAACTGGAATTATGCTTTTTTTCAGGGAAGCTGTGGATCATGTTGGGCTTTCTCTACAACAGGCAACATAGAGGGACAGTGGGCAATACAGAAGAAACAACTGGTGTCTTTATCAGAGCAGGGTAAGCTATTGACAGCGAGGGGCTATACAAAAAAGTTAAATCCATACCAGTTGGCAATGTTACAATATTATACCCCCACTCCTCACCCCATCTACGATAGCAGAGGGGCATTATGTTTTCTTGTCATTATGTTGGTCCGTCTATTATCAGACTGGCTCTTATTCCAACAGCTTGTCAATGTTTTTCACAAAGTTAACTAAAAGAGGAGAAATAACTTATGGAAAAATTATGAAAGGAGTAAAAAATTTAAAACAGATTTTTAGTTAAACATTGTATAAAGTCTTATTCAGTATTCAGTCCTACACATTTTTATTGACTTATTCATTTGTGCTTAAGATCAAACCATGTCAGCAGGATATGGCTATATTGTGATGAAAATCCCTTACTGATATTTAAACAAAAGGTTTGTTATATAAAACAAGGTTTGATTTATATATAAAAAAAAAACTCAATACTAAAATCAATTACTTAACATAAACACTATTTTGAATAGGACATTTTTCCACTTAGTGAATAAATTGTCAAGCTATAGATTAGTCATAGTTTTGGTAAAAGTACTTATGTCTGATGACAGATCAATAGTCTTACTGAAGGACATTAAAGGTCAAGTGTTTTGGATTCCTGAATCTGTCTTATCTTTCAACATGTGGTTAAATTCAGATTAATATTACATGTATTCTTATGCACTTTATAAACTGGAGTATTATCAGAGGTGAATATCTCTTATTGTCCTAAAATAGTTTACATGGAAAATCCATTTATAAGTGATGTAATTTATAATTAGATTGTATAGATAAGATAAAGTTAAAAATCAGCATTTGATATTTGGATAAAGTTTACTTTAAAAAAATGAAATTCAAGCATCCTTCTCAATTAAGGACAAATTATTCAAAAGTTGACAAACAAAAAGAGACAATAACTTTTAATAAGTGAATATACTAATGAGCATGTGACAGACTGTCCTCATATCTGGACACAGTGAAAATAAGTTCAAAGTTTGGACTTAATTCAGGATATTTGAGAGTCAGTGTCTGCCCAGTCTGGTATAGGATATGTTTACTGAAGATCAATCAAACCCTTTCCCCATTTTCTGTATTTCCTTTTAATTATTTAAGAGGAGCCAAAAATAAGAATCCTTAGGTGTAATTTCTAGAGGTTGATGAATTGTAATTAATCACAAAAAATACAATTAGAAAAAAAAAAACAAATCACAAATTGTTTTCAACATTTTCTTCGAAAAATGCCCGAGTGTACTCAGTCAGGAATATGACAGTTATTTTTCATTCGTTCTATTGGTTGTTAAAGTCTAACATTTGATAATGTCAGTTTTTGTGGACTTCTCCCTTTTTGAATTTAGTTTGGAGTTCGGTATTTTTGTTATACTTTTTTGCAATCTATCAAGAATTACAGATTATATTTTTATTACTTATCACGATTATTGATTTTTAATGTTAAATTGTTATTCTTCGTTAATTAAACTTCCTTACCCAAAAAGATATGTTTACAAGAATTTTTTCAATTATGATGTGATTAAAAATGCTTCTAAAGTTATGAATGCTGATTAAATTGATAATTGCTGGCATGACTGCTTGATACGCCCTTCATTCATTAGTTGTATTTTAGATGAAGAACAGATTGTCTGATTAAAGTTCCATAACTCTAAAATTGCTAACGTGAAAATTGTAAAAATCCAGAGATATAGCTGAATTTGTGTATAAATTTCACAAAGATTCTGTCTGAGCATGTTTTATTGCCATATAGAATGTAGAGTAGAAACATATATATTTTTAAAAGATGAACTAAGTTTTTTTAAACTCAAAATGTAAAGTGAAAATTTTACATATTGTATAAATTCATGAGTCATAAGTAAACTTGAGTGGATAAAGTGGATTGATGAGAATTCTCAATTATTATATTTTTTGATGGCTCTATGACATCCTTATTGACATTTTTTGTTGTATCCTTTTTGTTTACAAATTAAATTCATCAATATGAAAAGGAATTACAATGTTGTTTTGGTTTTTTTTTTATCTGGCTCGAAATATGACCGTAACCATTAATTCTATTTTCAATGAACTATATTACTTTTGAAGTATTCTTAAACTGGTCTGCACTCATACTTATAACTTAAATATATGAATGTTAATGAAATATTTAACCAATCACATTTTAAATTAAAAACCATATTTGTAATTATTTCCAGAGTTGGTGAGCTGTGATAAAGTAGACCAAGGATGTGAGGGAGGATTACCATCCAATGCATACAAGGAAATTGAAAGACTAGGTTAGTTTCATGAGAACTGCTGAAAGCATTTTTTAGTTATTGTCAGAAAACTGGAAAATACCCCTTTTTTTATGAATAAAACCCTGTAACTCGGAAACGTAAAATCTAAAATTCATAAAAATCGAAAGGGAGCTCATGTCAATAGATATAAACAATTCACCAAAATTTCTTGCAAGTTGGTGAAAGCATTCTTGAGTTATTGTCAGAAAACTGGAAAATCCCCCCTTTTTTAATGAATAAAACCCCAAAACTCGGAAACGGTAAATCTGAAATTTATAAAAAACGAAAGGGAGCTCACGTCAATAGATTTAAACAATTCAATAAAGTTTCATGCATATTGGTTAAAGCGTTTTTGAGTTAATGTCCTACATGTTGACGACGGACGAACGGACAGACGGACGGACAGACGGTCAAGGGTATACCATAATACGTCCCGTAAACGGGCGTATAAAAAATAAAAATAACAATGTAATAAACTTGGCTGTTTTGTTGCAACAACAGAATTCTAAGGGTCTGGAGTCGGTTTCACAAAAAAACTTATGACTAAGATTGATCGTAAGTACACTAAATTGTTCATGACTTAGGACCAATCTTAGTCGTAAGTTTTTTTTGTGAAACCGACTCCAGACCCTTAGAATTCTGTTGTTGCAACAAAACAGCCAAGTTTATTATATTGTTATTTTTATTTTTTATACGCCCGTTTACGGGACGTATTATGGTATACCCTTGACCGTCTGTCCGTCCGTCTGTCCGTTCGTCCGTCATCAACATGTAGGACATTAACTCAAAAACGCTTTAACCAATATGCATGAAACTTTATTGAATTGTTTAAATCTATTGACGTGAGCTCCCTTTCATTTTTTATAAATTTCAGATTTACCGTTTCCGAGTTTTGGGGTTTTATTCATTAAAAAAGGGGGGATTTTCCAGTTTTCCGACAATAACTCAAGAATGCTTTCACCAACTTGCAAGAAATTTTGGTGAATTGTTTATATCTATTGACATGAGCTCCCTTTCGATTTTTATGAATTTTAGATTTTACGTTTCCGAGTTGCAGGGTTTTATTCATAAAAAAGGGGTATTTTCCAGTTTTCTGACAATAACTAAAAAATGCTTTCAGCAGTTCTCATGAAACTTTGGTGAATTGTTTATATCTGTTGATGTAAGCTCCCTTTAGAATTTTCGGAATTTTAAATTTTACATTTCTGAGTTATAGGGTTTTGTTCATTAAAAAAGGGGGATTTTCCAGTTTTTCAACAATAACTCAAAAATGCTTTCATCAGTTCTCATGAAACTTTGGTGAATTTTTTATAGCCATTGATGTAATCTCCCTATTGATTTTCATAAATTTCAAATATGACATTGAGAAGAAATTGAACTTTATTTGTTTATAGTCTGACAACAGATTTACTTAGTATTGTGCAACAGCACAGTGTATTGCACAAAGCAAGAAATCTTTAATTGAATATAAATTCAATTCATATAACCAATTTCAAGTTCTTTGACTACATTTATTCAGAAACCTATAATATGTCAAATATTTAATTACAATCCAAATTCAGACCTGTATCAAGCTTGAATATTGTGTCCATTTTAACCCCAACTGTTCAGGGTTGGACCTCTGCGGGCGTATCCAGCTGCACTTAGTGAAGCAGTTTATTTTGGTAGTGATGATAAATTTAATTGGGTGTTTTCTGGTTGGATGTCTTCACCAAATCTTTTCGATTTCCACTGATTCTGATGAAATTTTATGTATGAGCAGAAGATGTGAGGTATATTTCAATGAGATGACAGCAACACTGAATCACAACACAAGGAAAGACAGCTAAGGCAACATAAATCAATGTCTGTATCGGTAGACTACTGTTGTACCATATTTTATGCTCTAAATTGTACAAATTTGAACAAGGGAAAAAATATATTTATATTTCTGTCATAAATGTCAAAAAAATAAGTATTCTGTATTCAGTTTCAAGGGCAGATGCAAATGAAGGCCCACCTTGAGCACCTCTCCCCCACCCCTGAAATCTGAAAAATATAAATTTTTGCCTTAAAAAATCAATTCTCTGGCCCACATCCCTAATAACCTCAAGTCCTATATCCACACTAGTGTATATATTGCAAATTCAGAATTTGATATGTTCATTGATTAGTGCAAATCATTGACAAAAATCAACAATTAAGTAATACAATCTGTAGACATGTTGTAGAAGAATATTATTAGTTATATTTCAATGTTCTTTCTGTTATATTTTTCACAATAATAAAAATCACACATAAATTTACATAAGTGCATATTTTTGTATTAAATTCTGAAAGTGTATATTAATTTATAACATGTATTTTTAGGTGGACTTGAGACAGAATCACAGTACAAGTATGATGGAGTTGATGAAAAGTGCACCTTCAACAGATCTGATGCCAAATTTTACATCAACAGCTCATTGTCTATATCCAGTGATGAGTCAGGTAGGTGAATATCAACTTGACATCAGTAGATGTACTGCACTCTCTATTTGATATCAGAGTTTACATTATTTACTTTTATTTCCATAACTAATTGTGTGGGGTAGGTCAAGATTAAAAAAATAACACAGTGATTGCTAATGAAAATTACTTAACAAAATTACTAGAGTAAAGGTGATGTTCTAAAGGTCAATTTTAACTGATCTCAGTTAATGTCAAGGTCAACATGTACATGATATAGCCAATGTCAAGGTCAATCAATCTAATGTCTATTAATGTCCAGATTAAAACATCAAGAACTCCTTATCTCTGTCTACTGATGAGTGGAATAGTTGGCATCAACACATTTATTGTAAAAATGAATTTAAGGAGATATAAGGAATTCATCCATTAGACAACAACCCAACAAAAAAAAAAAACCAAAATCACCATGAGGGCAACATACAATAGACAGGTGTTTATACAATATTTCAAGCTCTAAATCATCTTGAATCCATAAAAGTTTGAAATAAATTTAATGTAAACAATCAAAAATCTTAAATCTTACCATTAACACCCAATTATCTGAGTAAAGAAAAATCATTAAGATACCAAAATGCTGAAAGCTGAGGAGTTTTCTGACTTGGGACAGACATATTTTACTTCTATACATGTTTTCCATATTTTGTGATTTGATAGGTTTGTCAAAATTAAAAACTGATGGGTTATTTTCGTTCTTCGTGATCAGCGCATTTTCGCTATCGTGATCCGTTTTTCTACAGATTTTTTTTTTATATTTTCGTGATCCGTGATCATGGAAATTTATTTTCTGTGAATCGTGATTGACAAAAAAATCAACTCGTGAATCGTGATGAGACCCCCCCCCCCCCCCCCCCCATCAGGCCCCTCAAGAATGTAGAAAAAGTATTCTTCAATAATCAAAATCAGGAGATCAAAGCAAATGTGAGATCTTCTTATTGGTTGTGTTTAGCTTTATTATATACTGTGAAAGTACTTTTATTCGTGGGGTACCAATTTTCGTGGTTTTTGTGGATGGCTTTATCCACGAATTTAAGCGTCCAACGAAATATTACAACTGTTGTCCAAATCAAGAAATGTAAAGATCCCCATGTATGGGATACGGGCATATACTAGAGAACACATCAAATATTGCCAAATGCACTATGAACTTTTTTTTTTATATACAACTGCAGGCAGGCTTTTATCCATGTTATCTTTAAAAACCTAAACTGTACAACTTTGAACCTTTTAATTCTCATAAATTTTTGTTTCGATCGATGAAAGTCAAATTTCTGGTAATGATATGCTATGATGAAGTGTTCATTTTATCTACTCGAAATTCTCATATGGAAAAAAATAATTTCATATTGGAATTAAAACTAATTCTACAATTCAAAATATATTTATGCATTTGTTTATGTTGCCGTTTTCTTTAAGTGACATGTTTATGACCCAATTAACACCTTTGATGATTTTTAATCTGTTAATCGTTCGATCTCGGGTTAATTAGTGTCATCACTTTGTTACATGTGAGCAACAATTCAAATGTTTACTTTGCAATTTACTTCAATCGAGACAATTTGTCATATATGAATCAGCTTAGCTTAGTTCTGAAAGCAATTATTTTATTAAAAATTTGTTGAATGTTGTCAGTTATGAAAGACGAACAAGTAAGTAAAAAAAACACCTTATTTTGCAATGTCCACAAATCATTATAAATCTACATATGATTATTATAAAGAATCTTCATTTCTGATTGCTCCAAATTCTTTCTAGATTTTTTTTCTTCAGAAAACTAAAATCCAGGAAATTTAAGAACCCACGAACATGTAACTTTTGCTCAAACCACGAAAATTAATACCCACGAATAAAAGTACTTTCCCAGTTCACAGATCTATTGATTAAGATCTTGTTTGGTGGCAGTTTATTGTCAAACTAAAAATCTTATGAATGGTATTTGTCGAGCCTGCGACTTTTGTCGCAGAAAGCTCGACATAGGGATAATGATCCGGCGGCGGAGGCGTCGTTAGCTAACTTCTTAAAAGCTTTATATTTTAGAAGGTGGAAGACCTGGATGCTTCATACTTTGTATATAGATGTCTCATGTTACGGAGTTTCCGTCTGTCACATTTCCATTGACCTTGACCTCATGGTTCAGTGACTACTTGAAAAAAAAGTTAAGATTTTTTTGTAATGTTAATTTCTCTCTTATTGAGAGTAATAGGATAACTATATTTGGTATGTGCGTACCTTGCAAGGTCCTCATGCCCGTCAGACAGTTTTCACTTGACCTCAACCTCATTTCATGGATCAGTGAAGAAGGTTAAGTTTTGGTGGTCAAGTCCATATCTCAGATACTATAAGCAATAGGACTTGTATATTTGGTGTATGGAAGGACTGTAAGGTGTACATGTCCAACTTGCAGGTGTCATCTGACCTTGACCTCATTTTCATGGTTCAGTGGTTATAGTTAAGTTTTTGTGTTTTGGTCTGTTTTTCTTATACTGTATGCAATAGGTCAACTATATTTGGTGTATGGAATGATTATAAGGTGTACATGTCTAGCTGGCAGGTGTCATCTGACCTTGACCTCATTTTCATGGTTCTGTGGTCAAAGTTAAGTTTTTAAGTTGTGGTCTTTTTTTCTAATACTATATGCAATAGGTCAACTATATTTGGTGTATGGAAATATTTTATGATCTATTTGTCAGTCACGCAGGTTTTTTTTTACCTTGACCTCATTTTCAAGGTTCATTGCTCATGCAGTGTTAAGTTTTTGTGTTTTGGTCTGTTTTTCTTAAACTATAAGCAATAGGTCAACTATATTTGTTGTATGGAAGAATTGTAAGCTGTACATGTACCTCATTTTCATGGTTCTGTGGTCAAAGTTAAGTTTTTAAGTTGTGGTCTTTTTATACCCCACGCAACGAGTTGCGGAGGGTATAATGTTTTTGACCCGTCAGTCCGTCAGTCCTATTTCTTGTCATCGCAACTCCTCTCAAACCACACAACAGAATTTCACGAAACCTTTTTAGATAATAAGGACATACTATGTAGTTGTGCATATCGACAGGAAATTACGATTCAATTCTTTTTCTAGGAGTTACGCCCCTTTGAACTTATTTACTTTAATGCACTACTGCAACAGTTTGTCATCGCAACTCCTCTCAAACCACACAACAGAATTTCATGAAACCTTTTCAGATAATAAGGACATACTACGTAGATGTGCATATCGACAGGAAATTACGATTTAATTTTTTTCCCAGGAGTTACACCCCTTTGAACTTATTTGCCCAATATACTACTGCAACCTTTTGTCATGGCAACTCCTCTCAAACCACACAACAGAATTTCATGAAACTGTGTAGATAATAAGGACATACTATGTAGATGTGCATATTGACAGGAAATTATGATTCAATTTTTATTTCTGATACAATTTTTTTTTCTTACACTTATTTTATTTCTCCAATGACAATGTGGGGACGTGGGGTATGTGAGCGCGTTCACTAAGGTTCTTTAATTTTGTAATACTATATGCAATAGGTCAACTTTATTTGGTGTTTGGAAATATTTTATGATGTACATGTCAGTCTCGCAGGTTTTATTTGACCTTGACCTCATTTTCACGGTTCATTGCTCAGTGTTAAGTTTTTGTGTTTTGGTCTGTTTTTCTTAAACTATAAGCAATAGGTCAACTATATTTGTTGTATGGAAGAATTGTAAGCTGTACATGTCTGCCTGGCATGGTTCATCTGACCTTGACCTCATTTTCATGGTTCATTGGTTAATGTTTAGTTTTCTTGGTTAAGTCTATTTCTTAGAAACTATAAGCAATAGGTCAACTATATTTAGTGTATTGAATGATTGTAAGGTGTACATGTATGTCTTGTTTGGTTTATATGACCTTGACCTCATTTTCTTGGATCATGTTAAGTTTATGGGATAGTTGTAGTAAAGCTTTACATTTAGGGCTATCAACATAACATCAATAATTAGTAAAGAGCGCGAGACATTTCAGTGTGTGCACTCTTGTATTTTTATTTTGGGGTTCCATAACTGATGCATTGTAATGAATGTTTTACTTTTTTTAGAAATGGCACAATGGCTGTATGAAAATGGACCTATATCTATTGGTATCAATGCCTTTGTGATGCAGGTAGGAAAATAAAAACCTTTTATGCTAATCTGCGATCATGCATGCTCAGAAATCTCAATAACTGGCAAAATCCTGTTTGTTTCTTTTAAAAAAGAACAGCAGTTTCATTCAAAATTATTCTTTCTAAACTTTTAAACATTTTTGCTTCTTAAAGGTTAATTCATATGTTTCATCAAAATAATAAAAGACTACTCAATCAGCAGATTAAGTGTGACTATTCAACGAGGTTGGTTTCTCTTAAGGGTTTTAATTACAAGAAAATACCCCTCTTATGTTAAAGGGGCCTTGTAAGCAGGATGTAGAGTTGCCTTAAAAGGTGGGAACTATTGTATTCGCTTTATCCTACAAAATGTCATTGTACTCTAACATATATGTCATTTTTTCAGAATTTTGTTACATTTACATATAAATGCAATAAATAATTGATATTCAGATTAAAAATTTTACTCAAGAATTCTTTAAAATTAACCAATGCTAAGGACTGGTCAATAATAGATTTTCTCAAATTATTAACAATGAACATTCATATTTCAGTTTTACATGGGAGGAATCTCACATCCCTGGAAGATTTTCTGTAACCCTAAAGAATTGGACCATGGTGTACTCATTGTAGGTTATGGTGTTGGTAAGTTGAATTTAACTATATAATATAAAAATAAGGAGAGGTGGTATGATAGCCAATGTGACAACTATCCGCCAAAGTCCAAATGAATTGGAAGTTGATGAGGGTCGTAATGGGGGTACCTCCATGACGAATAACAGTAAAAATCTTGCCAAATGTTGTTAGCGGTAATTTTTGGTGCATGACGATAAAATCACATTCATGTACACATTCTTTATGACAATAAAAAAAATCTACTGATTTTGATGAATCACGTTTAATTCCAAAAATAACGGTAGCATATATTTGAACTAAATACTTGTACATTGTATATGTACTTTTGTAGGCAATAAGATGTTACTTTTTCAAAATTTTGAAGTTGCTCATTTAGTCAGAAAAATCTTTAAATGCTTGAAATAAATTGGTTTTAATATCTCTTATCAATACCTCAAAGTTGTATGTGCACTATCTAATTTAAATTTATTAATCGGGCAAAGAGGGCATTTTGTTTATGTATTGTTTTATTGTTATTTAACATACTTTTGTAGATGGAAGCAAACCCTACTGGATAGTGAAAAACAGCTGGGGACCAGACTGGGGAGAAAAGGTACGCTAATTTTAATCTATAGAATAAGCTATTCCATTATTGTCGAGCCTTCGACTTTTGTCGAAAAAGCGAGACATAGCAATCCTGGAAGCTTCTTACAATCAAAAGATTGTATCGAAAGGAATATTGTTATTTTTTTTTTTCCTCATTTTTGTTGAGCCTGCGATTAACAGCAAAAGTAGGCGAGACACTGGGTTCCCCGGAACCCTTACGAATTTTTATTTAGAGAGACGGTTATATTGCAATCATCTTGTAATGCCCCCTCTCATAAGTATGGGCTATATTGCAATCATCTTGTAATGCCCCCTCTCTAAAGTATGGGCTATATTGCAATCATCTTGTAATGCCCCCTCTCTAAAGTATGGGCTATATTGCAATCATCTTGTAATGCCCCTCTCTAAAGTATAAAGTATGGGCTATATTGCAATCATCTTGTAATGCCCCCTCTCTAAAGTATGGGCTATATTGCAATTATCTTGTAATGCCCTCTCTCTAAAGTATTGGCTATATTGCAATCATCTTGTAATGCCCCCTCTCTTAAGTATGGGCTATATTGCAATCACTGTGTCCATCCAGATCCATTCCTCCATCCAGCTGTTTACCTTTCTGTTCATCAAACAAATTTTTTCATTGCACTTTTCTCTAGTATCACTTTTGAATCTGTCAGAAACTTACTCCTGTTTGCTGGTACTATGATTTTTTTTTAAATATGTTGAATGGTTTTAAATTTTTTGTCACACTCTTCTCAAAAACTATGACACAGGATGACTTAATATGTGGTCAGCAGCTGAATTGTAATGTGTGAGCACTTTTCGTATCTTTCTGATATCTACTTCCTGTTAGCAGATAAATCTTTGAATTTTTCAATATATTGAATGTACTTAAAATTTTTCTTCACACTTTTCTCTGAAACTACTAAACAGAATTATTTTATTTTTGGTCAGCAGCTCAACAGTGATGAGTTTTAATGTGTGCTTTTCAGATCAGTAAAACACCTACTTCCTGTTTTCAAATACTTTAAATTACGAGTCCGGGTATGCATAGCAGGACAACATATGCATTCTTGTTAGATTTTCTATGTTTAAACTGTCCCTACAATGTAAAGCTGTCCTACCAATATTCGTACAGAAAAAAAACCTCAATCTTGCATGATTACTTCTAGTCATTTCCTTGAATCAATGTTTTGGAAATAATTTTCCCTTAATTAAAAAAAGATTTTGTGTTGAAAACATTTGGAAAAAGGGTGGTACATGTAATATAATACTTTATGTTTTGATAAAACCTTTAATTCTATTCAAATGAATAGTACCTTCCGTATGTACAAAAATCTCAAATTTATTTTGCAGGGATATTACCTAGTGTATCGTGGAGATGGAGTTTGTGGACTGAATACTTTGTGTACATCAGCTATCGTTAAATAAACAAGTTATCATCCAACTACCAGTACTGTATCTGTGATTCAAATATATATAATGTATATACACAAAGAAGATTTTTTTTCATATTGTTTTTTTTTTCATCTTTGACATTAAAATTTGTATCATATGTTTAATTTTTTTTTTTGTATAAATTTATCTAACTTATTTTTGGTTATTTTTAGAATATTTAATATAATTTATAATTACTTTTGACGTTGTTGATATTGAAAAAGGTTTGTGCAGTGTTCATTTTTTGTATAAAAATGTAAATTGTGTATTATTTTACAAGTTTATATCTGAACTAATAAATAAATGTTTTGACATACTAAAAATCAGTAACTATAGATTTTACCACATCAATGTTATCCATTTTTGATAGTAAAATATTTAAATTTTCAAATATTAGGCTTTTTAATACCTAGCTTTTGAATAATAAGCCTTAATTTTTTTCAGAATTTTGAATTAAAAAATCATATAGGATAAGAAAGAAACTCAGATCAAAGGAAAAAAAATTTATTGCATTCTTCAAATATTATAAAAATGAATATGTTGTCCACAAAATGTACTTTAATATTTTGTGTTGTGTGTATTTTGATATATTTAAAATTTATTTAGTTAAGAACATATTAATCAGTAAAAAAAATTTTTAATTTATTTTTTTTGAATTCATACTTGAAAATCATTTTGATAATGGTAATGTGTTTCTTATTTGTATTACAATGTAAAGATTAACAAACTGACATATATCTAGTTTAACAGAAACATTGCCTTACTTTTATCGTAATGTATTGTTTTTGTGGCATTTGTGGTGCCCAATAGACTATAATTTAAAAGAACAGGTTTTTTTCTGTGCTTATCCAACAAACTCTAATTTTGAAAAGGTTTTATGAAAGGATACATAGCTATGTCATGCTCATCTATAAGAATAGTATCATAGTAACAAAAACAAATAACTTTTTGGGTTAATTTGCCAGAAGTGTCCACTTATGGTATTTAGAAAAAGAAAAAAATGATTGTTTCTGTAATCTACAAGGCACTTTTCAAAAACCAGAAGGACTCACTTATGATTGAGATAGAAAATTCCTGTAATGTAAATATAAATGCACCTGTTAAGTTATTTTTATTATGAAATGATATTATGAAATGATATTTGAAAGTGATAATGAATCAATTTTGACTTTAACAAATACATGTACATGTACTATTAATGGGCTGGGACACAAAAAAGATAATTTGAGAGAAAATTTTGATGCAGCTGTTTTTATATAAATGATCAGTACATTCCATGGTTATAAACAGTTTTAAAATTAAAGACCGATATATATTTTATGATCAATTCTATAAACTATAATCAGATAAACTTCATTGTTTCCTAAAAAAAAAATTCTCAATAAAAGATTTTTCATATTGCTGTTTTTCTTCTTCATTAAAAATAAGTTTTCATTTTGGAAAAGTATTTATATGTACGGGGTGGGTGTATGTATGTGCACAGAAAAACAGGAACACTATGAAAGAACAAAATTAAAAATGGCTTGCATGTTGCTTTTTCAACAATTTGCATAAAACAAGGTAAACAATGATTGCCAATGAGACATCTTTCCACCATAGTTGAAATGAAGTGGAAGTAAGCAATTATAGGCCACCTTACAGCCTTCAAAAATGAGAAAAAAAACCATACTGTATAATCCCCTATAAAAAGCCCTGACATGAAAAATGTGAAACAATTCAAAACGGCCTAATACTAGTATGTAACAAAAAACAATTTACAAAAAACAAAAATGACATATACCAATGACAACCACTGTAGTACAGGCTCTTGACAACACATAGCACCGAAATAAGAGGTACTGAGAGCTATTTCAAGGCCAATTACATCAAATAAATCGTGTTCTCCGAGACTCCTCATGCTCTTTAAAAACAGAATTTAATTTTGGCTTCCAAACTTTTGGTTCGATTGTTCCTGTTGAAAGTTATTAAAGAAAACATATCATGAACTAGGAAATCAATAACATACACTACTATTTCAGGTTAGGGTGAAGGTTGGCGCCTGTTAAAACGTTTAAACCCACTGCATTTGTTTGCACCTTCCTAAGTTTCACTAGTCATTTTGTCCTTTATAGCTTTTTGTTTTACACATTGTGATTTGGATGGAGAGTTGTCTCATTGGCACTCTTACCACATCTTCTTATTTCTATTTGTTTACTTCCCCATAAGCTATCCTGCTTGTAGTAGACGGTCTGTCTACATATATACCATCAGCTCAGTAGTGGCCAGTGCTTCAGAAATGGCATGCTTTTAATGATAATATTTGTCTATAAAATTACTTTAAACTGGTTTCACCTCTCAGTCAAAGTAAGACTATTTAAATTTTGGTTGCTCTGTTAAGTCCTTTTGGTTTCTGTCTCACTAGAGACACAAAAATCGATAGAAAATTGAAGAACTGATACAAAACTCAAATTATAGATGAAGGCTCTCAGAATGACATAGATAACAAATTTTAACATTTTTGTCCATTATCTTGAAAACTACAACAGATAGACAGAAATGTAAAAGGCAAAAAGGATCAGTAATAAAAGATGTATAGAAATTCCAAAATAACTGAAATGCTTAATTATTGCCAAATTGTTTGTAAATAAGGTTAGCACCTTTTAACTATTATCTTGAAAACTACAACAGACAGAAACTTTAAAAAGGAAAACTTTTATCAGCAAAATGTGAAATAACTAAAAATATCAAGCCTCTACATTTAATACCATTTCGTCGGTACAGCATCTCGTAGATCATTAATCCCCAAGTGTAACATTTGTTCAGTAGAAAGTATTTTGTTACTGGTAATATTTTCAGATACATCCCAATTCATTAATTATGTAATCATACTAAACAAATGTTGCAAAAGAGTACTATATTATTTTAGAAACATGTAGTTATCAATAAATGCTAAATTAATACCAGTTTGTTTTATTAAAACAAATTGCAATTTGGTCAGAATTTTGAATTAATTGCAATAGGTGCAGAGAAACGCTTATAATTAAGTCAAAGTAAAATGCGAACAGTTGATGGCTGCCGACAAAATCTCTGAAACTTAGGTTAACTTAATATCAGTCACAGTGGAACCCATGATGGACATATAAAAAAGTCTTTTTGATTGAGTTAAGCCATTTCAATTGATATTTTATAGTGTGTCTTTCTATGTTGTAAAGTTACACTACTATTTCAGGTTAGGGTGAAGGTTGGCACCGGTTAAAACATTTAAACCCCGCTGCATTTGTTTGCACCTGTCCCAAGTCAGGAACCTGTTGTTCAGTGGTTGTCATTTGTTGATGTGGTTCGTAAGTGTTTCTCGTTTCTCGTTTTTTATATAGATTAGACCATTGGTTTTCCTGTTTGAATTGTTTTACACTGGTTATTTTGGGGCCCTTTATAGCTTGCTGTTCGATGTGAGCAAGGCTCCGTGTTGAAGGCCATACTTTGACCTATTATTGTTTACAATTTTATACATTGCGACTTGGATGGAGAGTTCTCATTGGCACTCATAAGCCTTTACTATATATAGGAAAGGCAGGGAGGGGGCCTGCTCCCCCTCCCCTAAATATGCCTCTGCCTTGTCTATTCATTCATCCAATAAATATTTTCTTCAAATCTTTAAAGTAACTACTTATTATAAAAGAATTACTTCATATTCAGTATGCAGCTTGACAATGAAGAGCACTTTTTACATCTGTCAGATACCTAACTTTTAATTTGCCAATACTCTAGTTTTCACTATTATGTTGAGCGAACAAATACTTTACTAATTATTTTTTCAATTCATGACTTCATATTTTGGTTTGACTGACGAGATGTAATATGCGTCCTGTTTTTGGATCTTTCAAGACATATGCGTCCTGTTTTTCAGATACACAGCAATTGTGGTTTTTTCTAGATCATCATTTTTATATTTCAATATGCCAGACTATTTATGCCTTTGTTCTGGGTGATAAACTGTTGTCTCATAACCTGTCCCTAGCTAAATTCTATAAGTGACTGCTATAAAGTGATTATTCAAGGTACTTAACTACTAGTAAATGGATCGAAGATGACAAACAAATTTGTACGAAACACATTCTATGTCATCTTGGGAACAACTGATGCCATGTAATTGCTTTGAAATCTTCACAATCTGAAGTCTTTTAAAAGTGAATGATGAGGACTAAGTGGCATATCATGATATCGTTAAATTCCACTACTATCCTTCAAACAACAGATCCCAAATGATAGCTCAACGGAAACCAAATGCCAGTGATTTCTGAATTATAAGTATTGAGTATCTTCCTCCTAGGTGTAATTTAGGACTATGTGTATCCTATGATATAAACTGTTGTCCATTGTATTTATAGTCCTCATTCTCTTGTGAACCATCTTTATATGTATCCTGTATAGCCAGGGTTTATCATTAAAGGTTGGTCTCCAATACACATGCAATTAAAGACTTAAATCAGTTTATAAATGTCCAAACACTACACATTGGCATCGAGTTTGTATATCAAGACAAAGAACAGCAATTGTTGACCGTATATTATACAAAATCAGACAAACTGACTAGATCTCTAAATATTAACCATAATGTCTTCAACAAATGGACAAGGCTGCTGATAGCACAGGGCTCTCGGTCATTAAACTCTACTCAGTACTCAGGAGTAAAAACTTTTGTGCTCGAAACACCAAATCCAGTATTTTGATGTTAATTTTTATGACCGCAAGGCCAGGCTGGATAATGTTACTTTAATTAGATAACAAAGTTTGCCTTAAAGAAGGAAGAACGTCAGCCATGGAATGTTGCCCAAGTCCAGCAAAACAACACGGTACAGTAACTATCCAAGTCCCATGGACTCGACACTCTGTAAAGCAACTGGAACTAATTTTACCAAAAGCTCTTCATTTTGCAGCAGAGTGCATTGAAATGGGGTTGAATTGACGGTGGAGAGATAAAAAAAAACTTAATTACCTTGGGCAAAAAGAAATTGCGGGGAATTGTGTACTGGTCATTTATTAACACCGCTTGTGCATTGAGAACTGCTCCCAGGTTCAATAACATATTGAAAGTGATAGATTGGGAATGGAGGGTGCATGATATGTATAAAATCATTTCTATCAAGCAGTTAATGTCCTTTGTATTCAACAGCTAATCAAAACTGAGAACACAAGCACTGATAGTCCAGCTGATTATATTTAAACATTAACCCTCGACCTTTCATGGTAATAACATTCATCTCATGGGGAAAAAAAAATTCCTCCTGTATAAACAACACTTGTACTTTGAGCTCCAATGAGTGTTTCCAGATGTACAGTGATGAGAGCAACTTTCTTCAGTGTTGTGAATTTCAAATACATTAACAATACACTCAACAGTTATCTACACACTTTATAGTTACAATTCTTACTAACAGGCATAGTTATTAGAAACGAGCAAGATTTGATGATTTAATGTACAGATGATCAACAATGAACAATGATGACGATTTTACAACTGATAGTTGACACATAATTCTATATAAATCTTCTATTTACTTCATGTTGTTATAAAAACATTCAATTTACAACATTTAATGTCTACAACACTTTTCTGAAATTGAATGTAATTTACATAATTAAAAGATGATGACTTCATTTTCATTCAGGATATAACAATAAAAATATGTCTATAACAAGTACAGTGATTTGTTTATTTTCTGTAACTGTTGTAATTGCTGCCACCACTACTGCCGCCCCAGCTTCCCTGGTTCGTTCCTGAGCTATAAGATCCTTGGTTATATGATCCACTACCCCAACCAGTTCCTTGTTGCTGTTGACCCGACCAGGATTGCTGTTGTTGTTGTCCACCCCATCCTCCTCCTCCTCCTCCATATCCTTGGTTTCCTTGCTGATAATTACCCCATTGCTGCTACAAAATAAAATAAATTCATTAGACTTTATGAACACATACATGAATTTAAAAATTACCGTTGCTACTCAAGTATAAGTCGATCCGACTATAAGTTGGGTGCACTTTTCAGCTCCAAATTCTAAGGATTTAGTCTTGACCCTCGTATTAGTCGGACAAAATTTGGGCATTTTTTTTTTCAGCTGAAAGTAACTGAATGCCGGTAAAACCAATGCAAATCCAGGAATTATATTCATTTCTGCATTAATGTTTGTTTGGTTTGAATTTAGTTGATGCTCATCATGATAATTGTAATGTTAAATTCTCTCTGAAATTGTACTGCAAGGTACCATACCACAAAGGGAAGGCTGGGATTGAGTTTGGGGGTGATGAATCATAAGGGGGTTCAAAAAATTTGGGGGGGGGGGATTTCTTTTCCTTTTTTTTCTTTAAAATTTTCCATTTTAAATTGGTTATTTCTGATTTATATATAAAAGCAAATAAAAATGATATGGTTTGAATAGGTAAATTAAAAAATTTTAAGTTCTTAGACCACTTTCATTCTGTGTGAGAAACCTATGCTGTGTCAAATATTTAATTACAATCCAAATTCAGTGCTGTATCAAGCTTGAATGTTGTGTCCATACTTGCCCCAACTGTTCAGGCTGCGCCCCAGCTTGATACATGCATTGGCTGAAGCATTAGTATACTGTATATCCGAAAAAGGCCCCTAATTCCTTAACTGTTGGTACCATAACCCCCAAAATCAATCCCAGCATTCCCTTTGTGATATGGAACCTTGTGATACAATGTCAGAGAGATCCATACACTTACACACAAGTTATGTCTGGAAGTTACAAAAATGCTTATTTTTGGCCCCTTTTTGGTCCCTAATTCCTTAACTGTTGGTACCATAACCCCCAAAATCAATCCCCACCTTCCTTTTGTGGTATTGAACCTTATGGTGAAATTTCATAGAGATCCATTCACTTAAACTTAAGTTAGAGTGCGAAAAACTAATGTGTCTTCGAACAACGACGACGACGACAACGCCGCCAACGTCATACCAATATACGACCACAAAAATTTTTTTGCGGTCGTATAAAAATTAAGTGAAGCTAATCAATATATTAAAATAACTAACTCCAACTCATTAGTGTCATCTGTTTACCTATCACTGATAGTTTTCACACCTTTAGTAAATACAACTCTTTGTCTCTTAATTGGGGTTATCAATGGATTATATTGGCTTGTCAATCAATTTTGTAATTTTTGTTTACCTGAGACACTTTAATGAATAATATTTTGATATTGGGAATGAATCTTAAAATTATTTTTTGATTATTATATGATTTATAAGCATTGAATTGATATCATGATATCACAATAATGACACAATAACTCCGCTGAAAACATCCTTTCACATATTTGGTACATTGTTATCTCCTTTTCATTTTTGGTTCTTGGCTCTTCTTTGGGTTTAAACACAAACCATGTGACAATGAAAATCAATACACAAACCGGAAACAGTAGAATTTCAACACGAATTTGCAGAAAATGTTTACCAAAGAACAAATAAAACACAAAGACAGTATTGTAGTCATTTATTTTCAACAAAAACTTTTTATTTATTGTTTTATGTAGGTTTGGCAATCAAAAACGTAGTTTTGACCAGGAAATTCACTCCTGACCACTTTTTTCAAGCTTGGATTTTTCCTCTGGTCGCTAGATCTCGTCTATTAGTCGGTTCCCCTCTCTGGATTATGAATTTTACTCCCAATTTTGCGACTAATAGGCGAGTAGGAACGGTAAGCCCGATTAAAATTGTTATTGTAATCTAATCAAGCTGTATGTAATTTCTGAACAAAAAGAAAACCGTTTAAATTTCTTTACATACAGCCGAGAACAATGGTCAGCTACCATAAATTTCCATGCAATTATTTAAGTTTTGCTAAATCCACCCATTATTTCAAAATCTTCATTTTGATGCGAGTTTGTTGTTTCAGATTCTATTTACTCGACAAAATTTAGAACAGTAGTGGTTCATGGCAAAAGAAATATATTGTACATTTGCCTTAAAAATATCTCTTCTAGACAGTTTCTCTTTACTTGGAAGTGTCATTGCAAGCTTACAGGGATCATTTCTTTGCTGGTTTGCCAAGATAACCTGACATATTATCATTTTCATGATTTTATATCATAGTAAAGTCTACTACATTTTAGTAAGAACTTATATAAGAAATAAATTCCTGTTATAGCAAATGCCTTACCCCATATCCTTGCTGCTGATTTCCCCAATTTCCTTGATTACCCCAGCTGCTTTGGTTTCCCCAATTTCCACTCCCTTGGTTACCCCATGTTCCACCTCCTTGGGAGCCCCATCCACTGCTGCCCTGTCTACCACCACCTCCATAACTACTTCCACCACTCCTGGAGTCTCGGCCCTAAAATATAGAATTTCATCTTAAGTTTCCTACAATGGCAAAAGGTTACAGACTGACTTATCAATCTTAAGTCGAGATTTACAACAATATGCAAACTTAACTTTGTCTTAATAATACATCAATGGTTTCTAGGATTTATAAAGTTTGTACTGTAAATTCAGAAATTATTGCAATGTTTTTATTATTGCGAAAAATGCGACGGTTATAATCGCAATAATTTAAACTCGCATTTTGAATTTTTTTAATATGAATTAAACAGGATTTTTCTCAATATAGCAAATATTAAAATCGCATTTTAGTCTAAAATGACAAAATCGCAATAATAAATGCATGCAATAATTTCTGAATTTATAGTATTTCTTTATTTGGTTCATTTTCTATTCAAACTAATTTCGAGCTATGAAATTCTTTTTTAAAAATTAATAAAATGCTCCGCTGGGCGCAGCTTGATACGACCGCAGAGGTCGAACCCTGAACAGTTGGGGCAAGTATGGACACAACATTCAAGCTTGATACAGCTCTGAATTTGGATTGTGATTAAATATTTGACACAGCATAGGTTTCTGACACAGAATGAATGTGGTCTAAGAACTTAAAAATTTTAAATTGGACATTCACCTATTATGGTCCAATATCCAAAATCTAAATACATGGTTAGATTCAGCATATCAAAGAACCCCAAGAATTCAATTTTTGATGAAATCAAACAAAGTTTAATTTTGGACCCTTTTGACCTCAATGTGGACAAAGTTGATAACGGGACCCAAAAATCAAAAATCTAAATACATGGTTAGATTCAACATATCAAAGAACCCCATATATTCGATTTTTGTTGAAATCAAACAAAGTTTAATTTTGGACCCCGATTTGGACCAACTTGAAAACTGGGCCCATAATCAAAAATCTTAACTTAAAATGGAAAATTTTAAAAGAAGCTAAAAATGAAAAAAAAAAAAAATCCCCCCCCCAAAATTTTTTGAACCCCCTTATGATTCATCACCCCCAAACTCAATCCCAGCCTTCCCTTTGTGGTATGGAACATGGTACCTTGCAGTACAATTTCAGAGAGATCCATACGCTTGAACACAAGTTATTGTCTGGAAACTAGAAAAATGCTTATTTTTGGCCCCTTTTTGGCCCCAAATTCCTAAACATTTAGGGCAATTACCCCCAAACTCAAACCCAGCTTTCCCTTTGTGATATGGAACCTTGTAGTACAATTTCAGAAAGATCCATACGCTTACACACAAGTTATTGTCATGAAACTAGAAAAATGCTTGTTTTTTGCCCCTTTTTTGGCCCCTAATTCCTAAAATTTTGAGGCAATTACCCCCAAAATCAATCCCAGCATTCCCTGTGTGATATGGAACCTTGTGGTACAATTTCAGAGAGATTCATACACTTGAACACAAGTTATTGTCTGGAAACTAGAAAAATGCTTATTTTTTGCCCCTTTTTGGCCCCTTATTCCTAAACGTTTCGGGCAATTACCCCCAAACTCAATTCCAGCTTTCCCTTTGTATTATGGAACCTTATAGTACAATTTCAGAAAGATCCATACACTTTCACACAAGTTATTGTCATGAAACTAGAAAAACGCTTGTTTTTTGCCCCTAATTCCTAATATTTTGAGGCAATAACCCCCAAATTCAATCACAGCATTCCTTTTGTGATATGGAACCTTGTGGTACAATGTCAGAGAGATCCATACACTAACACACAAGTTATGTCTGGAAGTTACAAAAATGCTTATTTTTGGCCCCTAATTCCTTAACTGTTGGTACCATCTCCCCCAAAATCAATCCCAACCTTCCTTTTGTGGTATTGAACCTTATGGTAAAATTTCAGAGAGATCCATTCATTTCAACTAAAGTTAGAGTGCGAAAACCAATGTGTCTTCGGACGACGACGACGCCAACGTCATACCAATATATGACCGCAAAAAATTTTGCGGTCTTATAAAAAAATTCATTGCGAAATCTAATGGAATAAAAGCAATCAGAGAAAGTAAATTGGGTGCTTTTTAAGGCACTTGCATATAAATTTCTATACTATATTCTAAAGATGGATAAGTATAGAACATATTTTAGCATTGAGAATATGGTTCACAATTTTATGGTTGGTGAGGCTTCTAAAAAAGTCTGTTTAAAGATCCTCCAATCCTTATTTATTTTTTTCTGCATATTTTTAAAATGTATGTGATTTTAACTTTCAATTAAGATTTCAAATTCTTGTTCACTTAGTATGACATATTTTAATTACCTTCCAGCCTCCACTACTTCTGTCGTCTCTCCTTCTATCCCAACTTCTATCATCTCTACGATCTCTACCTCCACCCCCATACCTGTCTCTACCAGAATCTGAAATGATGAATGTATTGATGTTCAAACCTGAAATCTTTCTTCACATAAATGTTAAGCTGAATAGACATACAATTAGAACTGCATGTGAAACAACAAATGGGCTAAACAAGTGCATTTTCAAAGATCACAAGCTTGAAACAAACAAAGGCTAAAATAATGGAACATAATTTCTTCAAAAAAATTCTTTCTATTAGTTTTTCAATGTAAAAGTATTGTACTGTAACCCCTCTATTTTGGATTATCTGATACTAAGGTTTCATAAAAGGTCATATGTTCGACTGTTTTCAAATAAAAACATTTTCTGTATAAGGGGAGGGTTGAACGCTCAGAAACATGTTGTACCAGGACACATTCTTCAAGAGCCTGTCAGAAGCCTGTAATTCAGTTGTTTTTCTCGGTTCATGTCTGTCATTTTTTTTATTCATAAATTGTTTTATTATAATGTATGTGTTTTTCTCATTGTTGAAGGCAGTACAGTTGCCTATAATTGCTAACATCCACTTCATTTTAACTCTAGTGTATAGTTGTCTCATTGGCAATCATACCATATCTCTTTATTTTTATATGTGCTGCTTTATATTCACAACTGGTTGTCCAATCAAAAGCAAATTGCCTGTCTATTTCTATACATTAATCCTACCTCTACCTCCTCCTCCTCTTCCACCACCACCACCACCACCACCCCAGCTATTTCCACCACGTCGTCTATCATCCCTCCAACTATCACGTCCTCCACTATGTCTCCTGTCACCCCTGCTGTCTCTGCGATCTGATAACATTTTATTAATTAATAATGATTAAGAATAAACATTTAAAACTTAAAATATAAATCCAAATGAAACTAATTTGGCTCTAGATAGAAGGTATGTTTTGAATTAATAATATTGTAAATTTGTCAAATAACACATTAAGTAATGTTGTGTAAAGTATAAACTGAGTGGCCCTCCTGGCAAAAAATATCTTAGACAGTTTTAGTGGAAATTATTTTAAATTCCAAAGCCTGTTATTTGACAAAAACAGCAGAGCGGAACCAAACTTAAACTCGATCGGTAACTAATCAAAGCAGCATCACACACTAAAAATCAGCTTAAAATGTGAAGGTGTTTAGAAAAAAAAGTCTATATAACTTAATTTCACGAAATTTTCAAAGTCCAAAGCCCGTAATTTCTACAAATATCAGAGGAGCAGAACCAAACCGTGACCTCGATCTGTAACTCGTTGTAGTAGACTTTCATACTAAAAATTCGTAAGGGTTCCACGGAACCCAGTGTCTCGCCTACTTTTTCTGTTAATCGCAGGCTCAACAAAAATGAGGAAGTAAATCAATAAAAATATTCCTCTTGATACTATCTTTTGATTGTAAGAAGCTTCTGTCCAAGTTTGGTAAAAATCCGGGATAGTTTATGAATCTAATAAATGTTTAAAAACTTCAACTGCAGACTGAATGTAATGTTAACTGGAAGAAAACAAAATTTCCTTCTAGATACTAGCATTTGATCATAAACAAGCTTCTGTCCAAGTTTGGTACAAATCCAAAATAGTATAAGAAAGTTATTAAAATTTTAAAAACTTTAACCACAGAGTGAATGTGTTGTTTCCTGGCAGAAAATCTAAGTCCATTTAAAAGTAAAATAAGGAAAAAATGGATTTTTTTTTTACAAAATTTACTTCTGGATACTATCTTATGATCATAAACAAGCTTCTGTCCAAGTTTGGTACAAACCCAGGATAGTTTAAGAAAGTTATTAAAATTTTAAAAACTTTAACCACAGAGTGAATGTAATATTTCCCGGCAGAAAAACTAAGTCCATTTATAAGTAAAATACGGAAAAAATGGAATTTTATTTTTACAAAATTTACTTCTGGATACTATCTTATGATCATAAACAAGCTTCTGTCCAAGTTTGGTAGAAATCAAGGATAGTTTAAGAAAGTTATTAAAATTTCAAAAACTTTAACCACAGAGTGAATATTTGTGGACGCCGCCGACGAAATGTAGGATCGCTATGTCTCGCTTTTTCGACTAAAGTCGAAGGCTCGACAAAAATCAACTCAATATGTGAAGGTTTTTAGAAAAAGAAGTCTGTATTACTATTAATTTCACAAACATATCTGTATAACTGTTCATTGTTGAATGACAGATGAGGGTGAAACCATATGGCCCCAACCAAAATAGGCGAGGCTATAAAAATATTCATTAATACATGCCCTTTTTTTCATTCACTTACTTCTTCAACTATTGCTTTTTGCCAGAGGAAATATTCAGATTTATCTTGGGCAAACAGATACATTACATTTATTTTCTGCCAATTATGAATCCTGATAGAAAACTAATCTTGTAAGATTCATTTGACTTATGCCCATATGCATTCAACCAGACAGGTGAAAAGCTCAAATCTTATAATCAAAAACTGACCTTCAAATCTACTTTTTTTGGATGGAGGAGGAAGTGCAGCCTTTCCTTCCTTGACATACTCCTCTACAAGTTTAGTTGCTTCTTCTTTGTCAAGTTCTATGAACTCCACTGTATCAAACAGAACACCTTCTTCTGGTAGTGTGAAATTAGCTGAAAACACCATTACATAACAATCAGTACATGACAAAAACAACAGAAACAAGCTGTTCCATTAAATTTCCAGGAAGGATTTAATGAAACAGCTTTTTACATACATAAAAGACAGTTCTACATCAATATTAAAATATTTTAAGTGTAATTTAAAATGTGTTGTGTCTTCACATCCTACCTTTCATTTCAAGAACTGCTTTTTCAGGGACATCCTTGCCTTCATCCTTTTCTCGTGTCTCAACGCGCTTTTTGTATTCTTCATCAGTGGGAACAATCACTACTGCTTTACGTTGAAAACCTTCAAAAGGCTGCATTTTACGTCTTCTTGCGGATGCATACACATTTGTCTAGTATGGCAACAAAGAATATATAGATAATTATTCTTGCTAAATACATGGCTGCCATAGATGGCATCATCAACATCATCCTCCAAATAAATTCATGGTATCACCCCTCCCCTACCTACCTTTGTTATCCAGATGATCTGTCCAACCCTATCCCCAATCAATAATACATCAAATATACATAATTATCAAGGCTTCATATTGGCCATCACCACAACATAATAATACAGCATTCTTCATCAATAATATCAGTACAGATTCAGTATCAACAAATATATATGGTAACTGGTTTACAGTACAAGTTGTAGAATGTGTCTATACATTACTTGTTCCTCCTGGGTATTATGCACATCAATCTAGTTCAGGGGGAGCTTCTCAAACAGAAAAACAGCACTTACCTCTGATATGATGATTCCAAGGGGAGGATGATGTAACGTCAGTCACAAATAAAATGTTATTTACTTACCATACCTACCTATCCTGTGTGTATTGACTTGCTGAAGTTCTAGCTCTAGTCTCTTAAAAGCATATATGTTTTAGACATCTTGTCTATTGCTATAATTGTATCTAGCAACATATGGTTCCTTTCAGATATTTTGTATCCTGTCATTTAGATATTATTATATCTACCAACATATTGTTCATTTCGTATATTTTGTATCCTGCTATTTCTATACAATTGTATATACTAACATTTTGTCCCTTTTATATATTTTGTATCAGTCTGTGACTATATTCTTTGATACAATGAATATCTTTCTTTGTTTTGCCAACACTACTCATGAACTTTGGCAACATGATCCCATACTAGCATTTTATAATACAATTTTTTTGGATGACTGCAAACTGGTCAATGTAACTTGAAACATGTGTGGTTCTTTTTTTTCAAAACGGATTTAAACCATTCTTAGGAATGATCTGTTATATATATATATCATAATACTCTCTAAATTCACCTATTACTTGCGACTGATATCATGCATTTAATTTGTTTGTCCCTGTATTATTATTCATCATAATCAACCTTATGGGATAGAAATCAAATAAATCATGCTGAGTAAAGTATTGCTATGCTCTGACCTACATCTATATACCTCTTATACTAACCATATTAAAGCTACTACTAGTTTATATACCCATTAACATATCAACCAATTTGTTCTGTCTTATATCAGACATTTACCAACACTCAATTTAAAATCAATAGCAACACATATTCAATATAACCTTTAGAGAAACACTAAGCTTGCATGAACAATCTTCAGTTTAAACTGAGATTCAGTAACCACAGGGTACTAAGGGCCTAAATATCTTAAACAACAGAAATCCTATAATCTATGTAGAACTTTTATTTCAATAACGATAGCTTGTCAAGTCTTAATATATTGTCTCCTTCTTCATCACTTGTTATATTGATGCAATTCAATGCAATGTATATATTGTTTCAACTTTCATTATAATTCCTTGTTCCAACTGTATTTCTCCAATCAAAATAACATCAATCCATTTCACTAAAATTCCAGTCAGGATACTCCAAAAATCTCCACATATCCTTTTTTCGGTTAAAATTCATATTGTGTCACAGCAAATCCCAATGTATACATTTACATCCATAATAAATATTCCCCCTTAATAGTCCATGTATTCTTTCTGGACTGACGGAAATGGCGCTGAAAGTTACTGTTGCTCTTCCCACCAGTTGTTACAAACACAGGGCAAATACAAAATACCGGAAATCACGATTAAAAACGATAGTTTCAAGTTACAAGAACCATTTTACAGTCATACCCTAAGTCTTACCAAGTGTCTTTTCCTAACATACCTGATCTAAAATGTAGTTCCTCTTTTTAGTAGCTCCTACTTCTAAAAGCTTGTTTAGACATTTTGTAGACTTGTCGATCAATACATCCCAGCGTCCTGCATAATTCTTCTTACGAGGGAGACCCATTACCTATAAAAAAAAATTGAGTGCATTTTATCACCTTTCACTTTACCTTATTACTATACTTTTGAAAAAGACCAATATTGGTCATAAGCACAAATACACTGTATCACACTGACCAGCTAAAATCACAACATAAACCATGTGCTTGTTAGCTTATTCTCTTAATAGGCGATCATTTCTATTTCTCTTGCAGGTGATCATTTCTATTTCTCATGCAAGTGATCATTTCTATTTCTCTTAATAGGTGATCATTTCTATTTCTCTTAATAGGTGATCATTTCTATTTCTCTTGCAGATGATCATTTATATTTCTCTTGCAAGTGATCATTTCTATTTCTCTTGCAGGTGATCATTTCTATTTCTCTTAATAGGTGATCATTTCTATTTCTCTTAATAGGTGATCATTTCTATTTCTCTTGCAGGTGATCATTTCTATTTCTCTTAATAGGTGATCATTTCTATTTCTCTTGCAGGTGATCATTTCTATTTCTCTTGCAGGTGATCATTTCTATTTCTCTTGCAAGTGATCCTTTCTATTTCTTTTTTTTTTCAAAAGATAAAAAAATTTGAAACCATAATTGCTTGGACAGGTTCAACTGAATCAAACTCAGTCATATTAATTTTAATAACCTACAATATTTAAAATAGCTATTGATGAAATTTTAAATGCATTATGAAAATGCAAGAAAGTGCATTAACAGATGCTTGGTATCCAATATACAACAGTGTATTCCTGGGGACCATATGTTAACCTCTAGAACTCTTTCAGTATTTTCGTCTCATCAGGTTGCCTCCTCATTGCACATTGTGCAGTACAATATTTCTCTTCAATAGACAATAAATTTTAAAAAGTCAGGGAAGGAACTTACATTTATTATTTGACCATTGCATGGAAAAGAATTTGTTTTCCTTTCAATTCCCTGATCCAACTTACCCTCATTTTGTCAATGATATTATTGGTTCCCAGAACATTGTATCTTTTGTCAGCATTTTCAGCCACACATTTGTCAACCCAGTATGTCTTTCCTGCACCAGGCAATCCAACCATACAGATAATCTAAAAAATAATCCAGTAATTAAAAATACATAAAGAGATATCATACAATTTCTTTTTTAAAATGAATTTCCACTATGATCTAAATATTGGACAACTTTAAAATGACTGGTCTAGCTACTGACTAATGTTAATCTCCAAAGTTGATTGTCACATTGTTGTCAACATAATGGAATTTTATGCGACTGCCATACAAGTGAGAGGTCTAGCTAGCTTTAATCCACCATTTTCTACACAAGGAAATGCCTGTACCAAGTCAAGATATGACAGTTGTTTTCCATTCGTTTGATGTGTTTGAGCTTTTGATTTTGCCAATTGTTAAGGGACTTTCCATTTTGAATTTTCCTTGGAGTTATGTATTTTTGTTGTTAAATTTTTTTCTTTTTTCATACATCTTTATGCTAGCTAGACCACTATCATACATCCTCTTTCATCTAATTATCAATATATATTTAACTTGTACAACCTCATATTTTGGACTTTCTATTATCATGGTTCCCTTTAGATATATGAATTTATTGTTTTTTAAATAATAAAATCTGGTGAAACCCAATATGAGTTGCAATAACAATTTATCTGAAAAATTTCTATATGCAAGGATGTTATTAAAAAATTAGGGGATAGATGCTGCATTATGCTAGACATTGACCTACCTCACACTCTTCTTTCTTTTCTGGTGGAGCAATTCCTTTTACTCTTTCTTCCAATGGTACTTTATCAATAAATACAAAGTCCTCTTTCAATTCAAACCAAGGCTCTTCCTAGAAATAAATGTAAAATAGATATACAACATTTACTAGGAAGTCTGATACATAATCAATTTCTACTCATCCCACTTGCATTTCCCAAAGTTTGAAGCCAGCCTTTAACCATTCAAGTGAAGTGTCTGATAAAATTTTAAAATCAAGATTTTGTTATGCTTACCAGTTTAAAGACTAAAAAATCTCAGCTAATCAGATGTATGTTGGTCATTATTGATAGACAGGGCTATGTTTACTGGGTGCAGAAAGATGTTGAGAGAAGACAATCACTACAGTTCATCTTTTGCTTAGCTTAGCAAAAGATTTAATGTACACAATGTTGTGAATTACTTACCTGTGCACCAAAGTTGACTTCAAATGAAGTATTTTTTGTTAAAATATGTGGAAACATGGCATTTCCTTCTAGCTTGGATTTTTCAACTTGGAAACAAATTCCGAGATCATCTCCATTCTTTGCATAAGATAGGTATGCTTCCTCTTCATCCATTTCATAATCCTGAAAGAAAAAAAATTAGGCCCTACAATTCTAATTAAACCTACTACTACTACTACTACTGAGGACCAAGTGTTCAAGAACAAACTGATAACTTCACTAATACATTCCCCATTTCCATTCTCAATTTTAACTATCTTGAAAATAATTTTTTTTAGGCAAAAAGCCAAATTAATTAATGTTCTTCTGCTATATTAATTTCCTAAAATTTCTGATATACAGTTGTCTCACATTTTTTTTAGAAATGATTTAAATCACTTTGTTTTTATTTTCAATAAATGCTAACTTCCAGATAACTTTATTTTAAATAGATAATCTTCCAATTTTTCATGTAAAACTTCAGAAAAAGTTAACCTTGTCCATCAAATTAAACAACAATTTATTAAAGACAGATATTGATTAAATGACATCTTTATCTAATAACTTTATATTTTAAAAACAAGAGTTTAAAAAAAAAAGTTTTGAAATTATGTAGTTGAAACCTACAACATAAGCTGTAATGACATCCCCTGCTGTAAACTGTTGTCCATAATCAATAAATTTAGTGTCTGTTGAAGCTTTTCCTGTTCCACCAAACCCAAAAGATAAAGGTTCTTCTCCTGAAATAACAAATAATCAATTTGACTTTCAAATAAACTTGTTTTTTTTTTATTATTTCTTCTCTGGAACAAATTTTCAGTCTGGGTCTTCAAAAGAAACAGAACACACAAAAAAAAACACATTGTAGTTAAAATTATTTTACTATCTTGTTTGTTTTGCAGATTGCTCTCTTCAAGTGCAGGAGGTTGGAGTTTGACAAGTCAAACGCCTTAAAACTGGTATTTACTGCTTTGCAACTCTGCATGCAGCTCTCAAGTCAAATATCAAGTGACTGGTCATCACAATAACGTCTAGGTCAATGTTGTCCTGCAAATTCTTTCCTTGTGAGTTTCCACATAACAGTCAGTATAATACAAAGCAGGGTACATTAATATGGCATAAGCATGTCAAGGTTCTGAATATACATGTGATACTTGCTACTGGACATTATGTACCTTTCAATAAATCAATCAAAGATCATCTAATGAACATAATCAGACATTACCTAATTGCATAGATGTGGTTGAAGCAGACCATCCAACACGAAGTACATGTGTGATAATTTCTTCCGGAGGTAAATGGTCAACACTTAGGTTTTCCAGCAACTAAAATGCAAATCAAAATATAAATCCTTGTTTAACAAATATCATAAGTTTCATAAATTAAGTATTAAACAAATTGCAAGGACAAAGTCTTTGTATCAAAATTGACCCGTTTTTCAATTATTTCAATAGCAAGGAGTCCGATCAGGTGGTGTCGATCTGGGCCGTGGCTTGAGGATTTGAAAGAGAGCAAGCTAAACCCCAGTACAAATATCCTGCTTGGCCATTTAATTTCATTTATTAATGCTATTCAGTCAACTTGAGAAGTATTGTGCACCAATGGCCAGTTGGACACACCATCTTATATATTCTTATTCTGCACACCTTTTCAAATTGTAATTTCAACAGTAAGATGAACTACTCTTTTATTCTTGATATTTTTTTTTTATTTCAAATCAATATGTATTGTTCATTCAAGTATATTCTACCAAACAAATGACAACTCCTTGTACACAATATACCATTCAATAACAGGAAACTTAAAACTTTCATATCGTCCTTGACTTTAAAAATTTACTTACTTTAACCTCATATGCTACTTGTCCTTTTGTTATTCCATAATTTGCACGTACTCCTGCCCACATCATGGCAAAGCCATCGTCTGTCATGGGTTCAGCTGACAGATTATTCTCTCCAAGCTTCAAACTCAAATCAGAGTTGACTGCAAAAAAAATAACATTTCCTTTACAAACAGACACTAAGTATGTTGATAATGTTTTCTCCATACAACAAATTGATGAATGGGGAAATAAGAAAATAATTGTTGTCCACTAAATTAAACCTTGGAGGAAGTTGATATATACATTTTGTAATTACTTAATATGTAAAATACTACAAAAATACAACCAGAATGAACAATAATCATCACATTTAAAAACTGATGGCTGGACTTGGACAAAAATATCTATTAAAACAAAACTTTTGAGTACTTACATCTGTCAAATAATACACTTTCAGATGTTTCCCATGCTTCATCCTCCATAACAACTTTCTTTGGAGATCTACTGCGACTACGCCTGCAATATTTTAAAATATATAACATAAAAATACTGCACACAGTTGCAAAATTTGCTAAAGAATACACATCTGGCTGTCCTTATATATAATCTGTATGCATCGTCAGGATATGTAATTTGTCAGTGTGTGAAGTTTTGGGTTGAGTAATAGGATGGGCCAACCTGAAGAGTTGATAATTGTTATATGCTGATGTAGTGTTTAGAATTAAGTGCAAATGATAACATGATTTTCTGCAGATGTATGTCTTTTGAGCTAGCATGCAAGGAATCCAAACCAAGTGTGTTAATCTAGTAGGGTTTTATTCATATCTCATTTTCATGTTCTCATCCTAAATATGAATTTAATATATATTTGAAGGTACGATTTTGCTGAAGGAAATAAAAAGCAGAAATAGTTAAAAATGAAGCCAATCACTGCCAGCTTGTATTATTAAGAAACCATAATATAATGATAATGATGTTTGGTGTTTAACATCGTGTGAAGAAATTTCAATCCGAAAATTCAAACCGTCTATATATAGCGGAGGTCTTCCCATAAGTGGAATGTATTTGAAACAAACTCTATGAATCAATCATTTGTTATTTTCATAAAGAAATGGACAATTCAAGAAAATAAAATATACAAAAATTTACATCTGTTACATGTAAATGTATATGCAATCAAATTAATCATTTATTTCATTACTGAAAAGTCTTTTGAGAGTTTGCAGTTTTATAGGGGTGTTCAACTAAAATATCAGCAATGTTCAAAAATGTACCTTCTTTCTCTTGAATGAGATCTCCTCCTTTCCCTGGATCTACTTCTGTGACGGTCGTGTGACCTTGACCTTTTCCTTCTGTGTTTTGTTTCCTCTGAAATGTATAAATAAGATCAATTTCATCACATTTCACAAATTCTTGTTCGTCTGATGATAAGTCATTTTAATTGTTAAGAAATTTCCTTATACTAGTTTATTAATAACATCAGTCATTTCTAAGAATGAAAGAATTGACATGTAATATTTGCTACTATCTATTAAGCATGAGCTGGATTTCGTGACTTGACAAGAGCATCTAAGTAAATAACATGAGGCTGTCAAAATGAGAGCAAATAGAGTTTTCCTTTTATTTGTTTGGTGTAATTGCTAATTCAATCTTTACTTTACAGCATAAGTGAAAACATCCCAATCAAACTTAGCCTCCATTTTGTTATGATTTTATCTTTAAAGAATTTGTTGATCATTTCACAATTAATGCATGGAAACAGTTTGGAGCTTCCTACTGGCAGCAACACTGTCCCAAATAAATGACCAGGCCTTTTGGTTTGATAACCCTAATAAAATCTATTTTGTCAGTTAATTACCATCATCACAAGTAGCTTCATCTACTGTTTGCAATTCTTGTCCAGCAACCTCTTCTTCTATATTAGTAGACTCTCCGTTTGCTTTATCCTCTCCATTTTGTTTATCGACTTCAATAGATTCTGGCTCTTCTGTTTTTTCTGATTTCTCTTCAGCTTTGGGTTCTTCCTTTTTAGGTTCTGCTTTGGGTTCTTCTTTCGGTTCCTCCTTTTTAGGTTCTTCAACTGATTCTTCCAAAGGGGTTTCTTCAGCAGGCTAAAAAGAGAAAATAGAAATACATAGTCTTTGTTTTATGTCATTAACTAAATACTTGCCAACCACTTTCTAGTTTATTTAGAGAGATGATCCTAGGAGAATATGATGCTCAGAATGGAATATGAAGTTTTGTACAATTTCAAGTGGGCTACCTTCCACCCAACACATATTAATCCAGCTATCAATATTTACACACAGTGGAATAAAATGACTTGGTATGTTTCAATAAACTTTAATTCAAATATCATTCTCTTCCGACTGAGATGCATATTTGCTATTATTATATTTATACTTAACCTTGTTTTACTGTAAACTAACATATTTACAACTTCAACACATACTACTGTGGATTCATTTATTTTCGTGGGTATCAATTTTCGTGGATTGAGGAAAACTTGCATATTCGTGGATATTTGATTTCGTGGTTTTCCAAAAGTTTGCATATAATCATACAGCAAATTTGCAATTCGTTGAACATTTAAATTCGTGGTTTCCCTGTACCAACGAAATCCACGAAAATTGGTATCCAACGAATAATAATGAATCCACAGTATTAAATTATAAGACATTATATACTTGTATAAAGTAGACCACATATAAATACACATAAAAAAGTTAACCATACCTTTTCTTCTGTTACTTCAGGTGCTTCCTGAGAGCTTTCATCCAAACTTTGGTGACTAGTATCTTGGTCTTGTGAGGATTCATCTAATATGGAATCGTCGCCTACTGAAAAACCTGAGTAAATATCATTAATGTTCTACAAGCAAGAACATCACTAAATACATCTACAGTTAATTTTTATGGATTCTGCCTCAATTGTGATTGAAATTCATTTTTTTATTATTATCTTGTTTGGTTTCTAAACAAAAGCATAATTTGTACTTAAAGATATATAAGATAAAAGAATCTCCTGTAGTTGGTGATCGCAATACTGGTATACCAAAAGATAATAAACAACAAATGATCAGAGGGATCATTATAATTATTGGCAAAGAACAACTAATTTTGAATTAACTTTCATGACTTGTTGGTCAGTATATTAAAGACGGCTTTTTTCATTTAACGAGTATTTTTATAACTTTCACAATATGATACAAACTTTAATTGATTAATGTAAATGAATGATTAAAATATAGTTTTTCATTTGATTCTTTACCTCTGCTTCATATGACCCTTACGATGGGACTCGGTGGCTGAGCAGTCTACGTAGTCTTTACTAATGAACGACTAGCCTGTCAACACTGAGGTTGTGAGTTCAAATCCTGCACTAACAGATGCCTTCAACTCCAATCTTAATTGACTATGATTGTTAGTTTTTCTACCGAAGGTTGGTGGTTCTCTCGGATTTCCTCCACCAATAAAAACGGAACGCCACGACATAACACGTTACTGGCTAGTGATGAAAGTGCCATTAAAACACCAATCAAAACTAAAAACGATTATATTTCCTCCTTATATAACAATAAAAACAATGGCCGAAATTATCGACTTTTCAAGGTATGGCCGAAACGTCTCGCATCGACCGAAATTGGGGGCTTCCAAAATATTTTATTTTCACAATTCAAAATCTTTTTGCCTATATTTAAATTTTCAATTTTTTTGTCTAAATTTATAAATTGTTCTTACCTGATTCGCCCTTTTCTTCCTTCAATGCTTTGGTGAGTCGTCTAGCAAGAACTGCTTTTGTTCCTTTTGTATCGAGTCCTCTTGCTTTCAATTCATCTCTCAGTTCTGCAACTTTTAACTTATTTGGATCAATGTCACTCATGTTTTCAGAATTAATGTATGAAAATGAAATAAATGCAAATTGTTTGGTATATTATAAGGCGATGTTAAGCAGCTAAAAATGTACTTGTTCTGCAAAGCATTTAACTCTACCACCCGAAATTACAAATGGCAGCCAAAGGACGCACATGGATGGTTTATTGATATTCTAGATTTACGTTACAACATATACGAAACGAAACTAATCACACTAAGTTTACTGTGATCAAGGATTTGTATAGTGATTTACAAATCCTTGCTGTGATCAAGTAATTTTATAAAAGTTTAGATGTAAACTAAACCAGAGACATATAATACAATACCACACAAAACAGGCAAGTAACAAACAAACAAACAGACAATGAAATGAAATGAAATGTGAAATGAAATGAAATGAAATGAAATGAAATGAAATGAAATGAAATGAAATGAAATGAAATGAAATGAAATGAAATGAAATGAGATGAGATGAGATGAAATGAAATGAAATGAAATGAAATGAAATGAAATGAAATGAAATGAAATGAAATGAAATTAAGACAACACCAAACACGGAATTGACTAAAAAGTTTTCGATTTGTACACTCGTATTGGCCCTACAGCAGTGCTTTTTGTGACATTCGTACACGGTTCAGAGGACACGAGCAACTTCAACAACAGTAAAAGCACGTGTTGTACTTTAGAGAAAGACCGTGACAGAGAAAAAAAAAAATGAAAATTAAGAGAAAAAGTTCGGGAACCATCATTATTTTTGTGTCTAAGAAAAAATGGTCCACTCACGGTTCATAATTGGCCTATGAATTTTGTCTTAAAATTTGTTTTATTCAAATGAACATCAATTAGTTCATACATATATATACGTTATTGGCCTTGAACTATAGATGTCAATAACTGTGAGTACTCTTAATCAGTTAGATCTGTACTTAGTGTCTTTTTGTTGTGGGGATGTATATAAGTACCCTGCCACGTCCACTCTGTGTTTTTGTGCTTTGTATCGATCTGATGAGTTAAGCCCTTTTCAAGTGATTTTTATAGTTTGTTCATATATGTTGTACATTACTGTTACACCTTTGTCCCAGGTTAAGGGGGTGGGGGATCCCACGCTTACATGTTTAACCCCGCCACACTCTGTCACATGATGTGCTTGTCCCAAGTCAGGAGCCTGCAATTTAGTGGATAAATTGTCGTTTGTTGCTGTATATCATATTTGTTTTTCGTTCATTATTTTGTACATAAATCAGGCCGTTATATAGTTTTCTAGTTTGTATTGTTTTACATTTGTCATTTCGGGGCCTTTCAAGTTATAGCTGACTATGCGGTATGGGTTTTACTCATTGTTGAAGGCCGTACGGTGACCTATAGTTGTTAATTTCTGGTAAATTTGCATGGTCTCTTGTGGTGAGTTGTCTCATTGGCAGTCATACCACATCTTCTTATTTTTTATATCAAAGTTTATTCCCACACGAAATTAGGGTCTATAGACATAACCCTGTCGTGTTTTACAATAAAAGAAGGTTTGGGGTAAACGTCAATGAGACAGCAACCGTAGGCTATAGACACAAATAACCCGGCCAAAAACACCTAGAAGGCCGCAACAATCAGTCTTCTGTTCATTTCAGAATTTCTTTTTTTATTCTAGATCGTAACTATTGTTATTTTGACATTTTTTATCTCATAAACAGACACAATAAGGCTTTTAATACCAGAAGGATTGATAAATATATTCCTCATACAGTATCAAAATTTTCCCGCTTGTGCACGCATTTAATTAGAAAAATCAAAGCCACGAGAAATTATTTGGATTATTTGGATTGATTGATTGGTATTTAACGCCACTTTCAACACTATTGTGCTATTTCGTGGCGGGCAGTTTTTATTGGTGGAGAAAGCCGGAGTGCACGGAGAGAACCACCGACCTTCGGTATAGGAAAAGAAATTATTTGAATAACAACGGGTATACAGTATGACCTGGCGAAAAGTATGTCAAATATTTGGACTATCATATTTCGGACTTTAATAATTATATCTTTTAATTGTCATCTTTAACTTAAATTTTCCCATATAATTATCTTGTGGTTTAAAATGTACTGTTTTTATTAATCCGATAATGGACGTATCTACGTGTCAAGACAGTTTTTATCAGATTATCTTAACAAAGGACACTCATTGCTAAATCCATACTTACATGTATTTTTTAATATGTTTTATATACTTTTTCCAAATAATTTATATTCAGTTTTGGAAAGGTAATCTAACCGTAAACACCGGATCAATATTGTAAACATTGTTTAACTTTATATTCTTGTGAATCGTTTGTATTAAAAATTGTTCAACTTTCAAGAATCTTCATTTGATAGCCAGCAAATATAGTCTGGTTATAATAGTATGTAATTTCAAAAATTGTTTGTATATCTATATATTATGATAAACATCAATGCACATTATAAATCCGGCATCCGAAGCAATTTTTTATGCTTGTTCCCTTCGTAAATATAACTTTTGTATGCCCTCGTAATATTTATAGGACTTGTTTAAGATCGTCTATATTTGCATCCTTATAGGTAGGACTGAAACAGTACACTTTCAATATTGAAATATCGGCCTATGTAACAGTGTCTAGACCAGAATTTTCCTAATACAGTGGACACAATCCAATAAATACCTCTATGTGAGGTCGTATGCACTTTTTTCAAATGGACTTTTCTGTACTCTATTGCCTTTTTTTCTTTACAAATAAGAAGAAAACTAACAAATAAAGAAAAAAAATAAAATAAATAAATAAATACTAGGCAAAATATGATAAAAGAAAACAAAAAACGCCCCCTCCTTTTTAACCCCAAAAAAACAAAATCAAACAAACAAATTTCAAAAATTACCCACAACACAACAATAAAAAACCTAAAAAAGCAGCAACAAAAAACACAAAACCAAATGCAGGACCGAAACATAAGAAATACAAAAACAAAACAAAAACAAAATACATTGTATATTTTATATATAACAAAGAAAAAGACAACAACACGACAGCAATAACCACAACGAACACATACCCCCAACAAAACCAAGCAAAAGCTTTTACAAAGCAAAACAGCAAAACAGTAAAATATAAAAAAAGAGATAAAATGACCGAAACATAACAAACAAAACAACCAAAAAATGCCCCCCCCCCCAAAAAAAAAACCCCCAAAAATACACCCAATATGCAAAACAATAAACAAAAAAGTATCGTAAAGAAAACAAGACAACTCCCACCATAACCGAATTTTTACAAATACAACAACAAAAAAACAAACAAATAAAAAAGATCCGCCAACAGACCAACAATAAACCCCAAAAAGTCTTCAAGAGCAAAACTATAATGAACAAAACACGAAAAACGAGATATGCATTTTCATCATTGAAGCCTACAGATTATAACGCATGACTAATATCTTTTTTCTATCTTATATTACTTTTGATTTTTCTGTTTTCAGTTTCTCTCTATATATATTGTATAGTTGTACGTAGTCCAAAATACCAACAAAAAAGGGGCACAAATTCAAGGGCACAAGGGCGATGACTTCTTTAAGAAAAGACTTACAATTCCAGCTTTGTTGACCTCCATGAAGCTTTCTATATTTTTTTGCCAACACGTTAAAAGAAGGATAAAAATCGACATTAAAGGACAATCAGTCTCCTATAAGAAGTCAACTGACAATTTCGACAATGTTTACTTATTCGTCGATCTTATCTTGCTCATCATCTTTGCTTTACAGTTTTTCTTTACCTATTGAAAAATCATCATCGAAGAACAATGACTCGATATTATTAGGAGTCGACCTACGATTTCAGCCATGTTGACAAGTTTGTTGATCTTGTCTTGCTAATCATATCTGCTGTTTGAAGTTCTCTCTCTATATATCATAGTTTTCAAGACAATAGGCAAGGTAAAAATCATTCTTCATGCGTATTAACTCCTTCAGAAGGATTCATCTGACAGTTTTGATGTAAATGGACAGTAGGTACATAGATCTCACCATTTTGAACATTTCTGTCCCTGCTAGATTACCCATATCTATAGCGTTTTTCAAGATAAAAGACAACACTTGCATTATATTTTTTAGCCATGTCGGCCATGTTGGTTGGCAACTGTGATCATCGGACATGTTTTAAACTAGATACCACAATGCTGATTGCTGCTCAGTCTGATTCCAATTGTCCTAGTAGTTTCAGAGTAGAAGATTTTTGTCAGAGTTCACGGACGACGGACGCCAAGTGTTGAGAAAAGTATTACTTGACCCTTTCGGTCATATGAGCTAAAATAGTCAGAATAATGTAACTGAATCACGAGGGTAATATAACTTGCTGCGGAGTTTACCTAAGGAGCAAGCATGTTAAAAATCCAACTCAGAGCATTATTCTATCGTACAAAGCAGCTGGTACCAATATATATTGGTTGAAGTATAAGTCTCAGAAAAGAAAAGAAGAGTATATTCATAACCTGCCAACCTGTTATCGTCCTTAATATGCATGTTATATTTTCCACCCGCAGGCGCGTAGCTGCCTTTACGCAAAAAATCATTTGCTTGCACATTTTTTTCACAAAAAAAAATAATTCTGAAATTAAATTACGAATGAGTAGGAAGACAGGTCAACCGGGCTAACTATCCAGCTGACACTCCAAGTCAATATTGGAAGCGAGCCTTGTATTTCTCCTTTCTTGACTATTTCATTGAAGAACTCACAGGACGTTTACTGGATAATTCTGATCGTTTTCAAGGCCAGAACCTTAAATTCAATTAAATACCTGCACGTTTGGAATCTTTGACAGCAGAGTGTATAGACAAAATATACGAAACATTTAGACACGACTTGACGGACAATCAAGAAACCTTCAACTCTGAGGTAAAGAGATGGCAGAGACGCTGGTCGGGTCCAGATGTTATAGAGTAGCCCAAATCTCTGATGTCGTCTCTAGCAGTGACTAAAAAGAAACTATATCCTTCAATAGTTTGCAATCGTGTCAATCTTAGTTACAATGCCAGTAACTACATCAACTACTGAACGGTCATTTAGTGCATTACGGCGACTTAAAACTTATCCCCGTTCAACCATGGTATAGGACAGACTATCTTCGTTGGCGCTCATACATGTTCACAGAGAAATGAATAT